CAACCGCTCCAATTCTTTACCATTTACCCATCTTCCTTGAGGACCCTGATTGATCCGAAAACTGTCGTTCTTCCTCTCCAGAACGGCGAATGGCCCAATCCACCGCTGCTTGAACTTTCCGGCTCCCGGTCCTGTTGTTTCAGGTCTGCTTTGATTCTTAACTTTTACCAGCTGTCCCGGTACGAACGGCTGCCACTTTTGTGATCGGTGTTCTTTGTCCACCATGCCTTGTTGCGCTGCTGGGTTTGCCTGGTTTTCTCAACCACTTCTCTTTCCAACTTGTCTCGCTCCTTCGTGTAAAGCTGTTCACCAGATCTTCCGAGTAACACATCAAGAGGCGCTCTTGGTTCTCTACCGTATATGATTTCGAAGGGTGGTATCTCTGTTGTGGAATGAGATGTTGTTTTGTAGTTGAAAAGGATTTCTGATAGGCTTCCTTCCCAACCACCGCGATGGTTATTAAGCCATTCCTTCATTGTTCTGTTGAACCTTTCGGTCATTCCGTTGGCCTGCGGATGATAGGGGGACGTTCTTGTTCGTTTGATGCCCCAGCGCTCTAAGGTCTCCCGAAAAATCTTGGATTCGAAGCATGGTTCCTGGTCGTTAATGACATTTTCCGGGATACTGAATCGTGCAACCACGTTGTTTATAAATATCCGAGCAACCGTTTCTCCTGTTTGATCTGAGGTTGGTATCACTTCCACCCAGCGAGATACGAGTTCGACCATCAAGACAATGTACTTGTTCCCGCTTGGACTGATAGGCAGAGGTCCAAACACATCCAATCCCCAGGTTTGAAGTACTCTCTTTGTGTCTATTGGTCGCATTGGTGGTTTTGCTGGCGGCGTGTCTTTATTATGTTGGCACTAGGGGCAGGAACGGATATATTCAATTAAATCCCGGCGCATCGTTGGTCAGAACACGCGAAGTCGTTATGAGTCGAGAACTCGTTGCCGTCCCATTTTTGCTCCATTGTGTGCAAGCTTCAACACCCGTTCGCTGGGATGAATGTCAGTCGCCTAGGTCTCAGTCCGCGTTCCGTGTCCACTTCAACCACCAAACTGTCATTGTTCGATTCAGGCGATCCCATATCTTCAATAATTCTCCTATTTCTATTGATGTTTCTTCCGGCCTCGTTTTTGACCGTAGATGTTCACAGATCGTTCGCACCAGGTCGTCTTCTTTCTGATATTTATTAATTTCCACATCGCTCGAAACCAGCCGGGAAACTGGGAAAACACCGATGGCCCACTTCCTCGTGGATCGGACGCGACAGAAAGTCGGGAATCCCGTTATCCTTGCCGTCAACATGTTCAATGGCAAACGTAAATTCCTGTAGACGATACGCCCATCGCGCCAGTCTTCCTCTCGGGTCGCGCGCCGTCATTAAGCACGTCAAGGGTTTGTGGTCTGTCTTGATGTGGAACCTGTTTGCAATCAAATACATTCGCCATTTCTCCAATGCCCACACGATCGCCAAGCAATACTTTTCGGTGGTCGAGTACTTCCTTTCGGCGTCTGTGAGCAGGCGGCTGGTATATTCAATTACTCCGGAAGGTTGTGAAATCACTGCTCCGATTCCAATATCGCTAGCATCGACGGCCACAGTGAAGCTTTTTGCAGAATTTGGTATTTTCAGATATCTTCTCTCAGAAGCCATAATTGTTTTAGGCTCTTCGAAAACCGTCTCCAACACTGTCATACACTCAAACTTCCTGTCATTCCTCAGGAACTGGAACAAGAAAAAGGTATTTTCAGCGAAGCGAGGTACAACTTTTGCATAGTTTCCTTCTATCTATCTGTCTACCTAACTCCATATCTATTTCTGTCTCCTCATCTGTATGCTTTTCTCTAACGATATATCTATCTACCAACGACCTATCAAAATCTCTCTCGGTTTGCCTATCTATCAACATCTCAACCTATCTATCTATTTATCTAACCCTCTCACTCCTACAACTTATCTATCTATCTATCTGTCTATCTATCTATCTATCTATCTATCTATCTATCAATCTATCTATCTATATTTCTATGTTGCTATCTACCCATTTATCTGTGTTTCTATGTATCTATCAACTGTCTATACCTAAGCGACAACATATATAGACGGTCTAATGTGTACATAATAATTAGTGAAGTTAAATGAATTGAAATGAAAGGATTACGTTAGCTAATACCTTGTCTTAAACTTTTAGTTCTGAATCGTAATGTGTCGTTCCGGCCGGTCTATTGTGTCGCTCTAATTGTTATGTTCTAAAACTCATTTCGAATCTCATATTACCTCACGTATTTATTATATAGTTTCACATTTGCTTAAATTTAAATATGATGAGATGGAAGTCTTTTGACTCACCGCATTTGAACTTGCATGCGCAAGTAGTCCGTCTAACTATATTTTGCTAAACCAGATAAATATGGATTTTTCACAAAAAACAGTCGATCTCACGTGTCTTTGAATTTGGTTTTCACCCATTTCAATAACAGGTGAGGCCTGGATGCCTTTCTCGGAATTGCCAGAACTTTCAAAAATTGCTATTGCTGGAGTGGACAATTCGAGTATTGAAACGTTGGTGGATGCTCTACCTCTACAGGTTCAACGAAAAGAATTGGCCGGTCCTTAATCGCAGCGTAATTTGAACGGGTCGGATTATACTGGAGCTAATTTTTCCTTTACTGTTTCAAATTTGATTTTGCAATTTACCTGAGAAAATCCTTATTATGGTTGTACCGGATGGACAACTCTGACAGCCAAAACTTCATTAAAAGCTTTGCACAAAGATCTTTCGTTGCTTTTTCAACCTTTAATTTCCTAATTTCTATTTTTCTGACCAGTTTGTCATTTTGTTTTGCTTAACTGTTTTTCTTACATAAACAGAAGTTCTTTTTATCTTAAATCGATCACGAGTAATTGTGATTCCGGGGAAATATCTAGCTATCCACCAGATTTCAACTTTGTGATCTGGAGATTCAATTGAAAGAGTTTCCATACGCGGCATTTTTTGCGGCAACTGAATGACGACACAATTTTAGGTATGGGGAAGCAACCGATTGGGAACCACCCAATTTAGACCACCTTGAAGTATGAGATGTTTCAAATGCACGACTTTCACATCTACCACTGAATAAAAATTGTCGAGCTTATCCCTGGACGAATTTTCGCTGTTCACATTAGCATTGGGAGGACAGTGTTATTGGAAAAATTAAAAGTAGGTGATTTGTGATCCGATAAAGACAAACACAAATCTCTGTGCGCAGAATTGATATTGGCCATTAATTTGGCGTGCTCTCACTCAGCTATAAACTCACATTTACATGATCATGCCGAACGGAGAAACATGGGAGTTGAAATGAGTCATTGGAAGAAGCTAGTGCACAAGCGATTTTGCGTGATTTGGATTTGTTTAGGGGTTAAGTTCTAGTTAGATGACGAAATTTGTTATCAGGCGGAACTAGTTCAAACATTGTGAATGTGGTGGGGGGAGGGAAATGGAAATTCACTTCACACACTACGGTAGGGCGGCTTCAAGCGTGGTATCACCACTACTATAGCAACAACAGTCGCGTCAGCAATATCTTTTGAACACAAATTCGAATGAGGCCGAGGTTCTCTTGACCAATCAAATGCGATTACCTACTTAAACCCTGAATTTGCGGTTAAATGCACGATCATCATCACTATTTTGGATCATCAAGATGGTAGCCGAATAGAAAGTCTAAAGGTCAAATACGAAATTTCATTTAACTATGTTTTATTTTAAAGAAAATGTATAAAATAAACATCATGTCATCGTGAAAAATGCATTGCAACCCCCCTACTTCCAGGAATATTCACACATTTATTTCGTTTCAAAAACGGATGTACCAGTCTACCCACTTTTGTACTTCGTCATCGTGACAGACAGCCGTGTCGAATCATTGGTCGACAAACGGTCATGTGACACCCTGGTGACAGTGACCATGTGCTCTTATTTTACTTTACTTTACTTTACAGCGGCTGACTCAAGGGAGAGGATAAGCCGGCTTCATAGATATCCCGAATTGTCACTGCCCACACTCGGCGATCTACGGCAAGATGAGTGCAGATTGTGATCCAGCTTGACGTTCATTGGCGAACGCCGTAGATGGAACGGAGACCAAGGTTTTCAGTATCCTTTCGTACCGTGTCTAGCCAGGTTTTCAGCTGTGGACCGTGTCGACAGCGCCAGTTTCGGCAGGGAGGCAGTGCCAAGGCTGATTTGGTGAGGTCGTTATCAGATATACGAAGTATGTGAATAAACCGTTGTGGTTGGCGCCGTTGCATTAGCTTTGGCAGCCGTATAACATTAAAACACCGATTTCCGACCGGTTCATTTGGGAGTTGATCCCTCCATCGTACTCCCAGAATGACTCTTAAGAGCCAGTGATCGAAGACTTCTAATCTGTGACAGTCTTTGACTCTGAAGGGCTAGGTTTCGCAGCCGTATAGCAAGACAGGATGGTCTGCTGCGGAAAAAGCTAGGATATTTATTTGAGGCCGATTTCATTTATACGCCAAAGGGGATTCTTCAGCTTTCAAAACGCCGTTCTTGCAGCATCGACGCGCATTTGCACATCGTCTTTAACTTTGGCGTTGGGGAGAATGGTTGAGCCCAAATATTTAGAGCTTTAGACGGATTCTATCGGCTCGCCATTTAGTGATAAAGCATTTTCAGGATGAGTTGTGACTGTCGCAAACGTTATTTTATGTTTTCACCTCTAGGCCGACCTCGGAGGCTTATCGAGTGATGCGGTCAACGAGAACTTGGAGGTTGGACATGTCCTCATCAAAGTCGACAATATCATCAGCGATTTCTAAGTCGGCGAACCATAAGATCGAATAGATCTGAACTCGCTGTTATCTTTCCACCGAACGACCCATTATACAGTCAATAGCACAGTTGAACAGCATTGGGGACAATGAGCACCCCTGTCACCATCCAGATCCCAACTTGAACGCGCATGACTCCTCGCCGTAGGTGCGGATTTGGGTACTAGTTTTGGAGTAGTAGGCTCTCATGAAGTTGACAAGTTTGACTGGGACACCATCCGCCGGAAATATGTTCCAGACCGATTCACGATCTATGTAATCGAATGCTGCACGAAAATCAATGAAGCAGACTGCTTTGAGTTGTTGGAACTTGTGGTGATGTTCTAAGAGTCGACGTAAACTGAAAATTGGGTCAATGCGGCCCACGCAAGGGAGGAATTTCTCCTGGTTAGGAGGGGTGCACGCATGCCATTTTGTAGCAAATCGGCTCAGTAAACGTTATGCAAAAGCCTCGGCCGCCACATCAAGTAAACTGATGCCTCCATAGTTTTCGCTCACTGATTTGTCCTTCTTTTTAGGGAAAGGTAGTGAAATTCGATGGGATCCAGTCTGCGGGGCAATTTAAGTTTCCCAGATTACACACAATAAGCAATGGAAAGGGTTTTAATGGCTGGAGAACACTTTGTGTAGATTTCCGCGGGTCTCCCGTCCTCGCTAGGAGATTTCTGCCGCTTGAGATGGTTCATGATGTTTCAGACTTCCTCTGCTGATGGCGGAGCGCAGCTAGTTCCGTTTGGTGATGATGGCCAAGAGGAGGCCTAGGGAGGTTGGATTTGAGTGCGATTGAGAAGAACACTGAATTGTTCCACCCAGTGAGACTTTTTTCCTTCTGTATCAGAAGTGAGCTCGCCGGAGGCGGTGTTCGACACGGAATGGGTCGCTTGTGCCTTGCCCCATGCTGATGGAATAAGCCCAGGTTGGCTGCTGTCTCTATTTTTGTCACCGTTTCATTGCAGTAGTTGGACCTATCATTTCAAGCCAATCGTGTTGCTTGTCGTCTGAGATCGCGATAAGTGGACTGAGCTAGGATCGCCTCTGACTGCCTTAGCCAACTGGATAGTGTGGTCGGATATCTAGTCTTTCAGACAAAATGACTCAGTACCCAGTTCATGTAGAGCAGCTTGCTGTGCTGACTTCAGCCTGGTCCACTGAGTTTCAACTGAACTCTCTATGCTTCCTTGCGTATCAAGGGAATCGTTCGACATTTGTGCAGTTATCATGCCCATCAGTGCTTGGTATCACACTGCTCTCCAGTGGAAGCGCATTTACGCGTTTTGAGGGACGGTCTTCCTGCGAGTTGTTATATGGAATCTAACTTTCGCGCGAACTATCAAGTAATCAAATCTTTTTTTCCCGCATTCAGCCTCGCGATAGGATCGACGGTTTTCAACCGAAGAAACCCATCGTGAACGGATGAGTAGGTAATCTAGCTGGTGTTCTGTTCGTCAGTTGTTGGAGTTCCACTTGGGAAGATGCTTTTTGGATGTTGAAACCGCGTGTTGGTAATAAGGAGTTGGTCTTCATTGACGGAGTAGTCCGTCATCATTCTCGCAGCGCTGGACCAGGCCAACCCCCTTACGATGTGCTTCGTGACCTGTTTTTGTGCGCCAGTTCGAGTGTTCCGGTCTCCTGCTATGTCAAGTGCATCCCGTTTGGGCACTTCATTAACAAGCGATTGAAAGCTGCCATAGAACCCACCCTAACATTGTCGTCATCTGAGAGAGTCGGAGCGTAGGCAGTGAATATCGTGAGGTTTACTGTCTCTTGAATCATGCTACTGAAATCCCACGGGGTACCGGTTACCAGGAAAGTAAAGCATTATTAGCCCGATGGCTTCAAGCAAACGCCACTTTGTGTTGACCCGACGCCGTTGTGATAGAGCTAGTAGTGTCTATTGATACCAGGGACTTTGATACTTTTGGAGCCGGATCCCACTACTCTGAATCCTGATAGGCATGTAACATGGTTTCGCGCCTGACTCCCGGCATCTAAGAGTGCTCTTACGTTCCAGCATCTAATGTAAGAAGTTTTGTGTAGTTTAAGGTGTCCAGTGAGCATACCTGTCACGCGAGGCACTGGAGGAGCACAGAGCACATTGCTTCCCGGGATTGCCGTAGCATGATCAGCGAGACAAGTTAATTGGATATCCATAAAATTTCTTCGGAGTTAGATACAGGAAATGTCTCCAGCGTTACCTGGCATTATGTCTAGGTGGTATCGCGAACCTTTACCCGGCCAACTGCTAACTATAGGGCATCAGGAAGGTAGCTCATGGTTGCCGGTGGCCCCCTGAAGAGAGGGCTCATACGCCATTGCCCTTTTCTATCTGAACAGGGATCCATACATCTCTGCTGATTACGGAGT